TATTTAAATATAAAAGATATATAAATATTTTACTTACATTTACAAAAAAACATGCTTCATATTAATTTATTTTAAAGGAACATCATTTAAATTTGATTTTAGAACGTTTAATTACTGAGTTTATATGATATTTAATCTTTAAAAGTTCATTTTTTTTATTTTGCAATTTATTTAATATTTTCTGCTTAAAGATTCGAAGGAAAAAGAAAAAGAACTTTAAAATCGCTTACGAAGTTAATTTTCTTCATTATTTTTCACTGAAATTGAATCTTCTAAAGAAGTTTTTTTGTATAATAACTTTACTACTTACCTTACGTTCTTGATTGATCTGTTTAGAATCCGATCTCCAATATTTAGTTTGATATTTTTTAAATTTTTTATAGAATATTACCAATTCTGATGGTCACATTTTCTTTGAATTAATCTTAAATTTTACATTCATTATTAATTAAATTTGTCTATAATTTTTTTTAAAAAGTTTCCTTAAAAAATGATTTAGATTAGAATATTAGTTGAATTATTTCGTTCAATTTTTAATTAAAGGAAAATTTATTACTAGTTTAAATTATTAAATTTGTGTTATAAATTATTTATAATTAATGTATAAATATATATTTTAATATTTAAATTTTAATTATGTCTACAGTTTGAGGGAAGAAGACAGGAGAGTTGCCAAAAGTACATTATTGTACACGATGGGGAGGGGGTTGAGACATTATTTATGTGGACATTTTGTAGTGGTATTTATTCTTGTAAGTCTACTTACTAGTTATGTGTATCAGAAAGAAGTTTTTAGTCATTTCTTGTAGTTTCATTGTCATGAGAATTCACGAAGTGTTGCACACGTAATTAAAGAGGAGGAGATTTACTAAAAGTACATCATTGTACACAATAGGGAGGATCAAAAATGGATAAAAAATTGCACAAATAATTACTGGACATTCCCCTATCTAATATTAAAGAGAAAACTTAAGTCTTTTACTGTAAATTTATCAAAGAAATTCAGAAATCTGATCAAATTTAAACGCAACTTTCACTATTTTAATTTATAAGAATTAAATTATACATGAAATTTGTTTACATCTAAGTAAATAAGATTAGTTTATAAAAGAAAGAAAATATTTATAATTTACTCTTATATAATAAATTTATATTTATAAATTAATGAAGTTTATAAGTATTAATATGTACAAAATCATGAAATATGTGTCATTGTTAATAACAACGGAGATTCAACTCATATTAAAATTTAAATTATGACTCAAAATGAAAGAATCCTTCTTAATAATTTATCAATTCTTAACATTTATAACGAAATTTGAGTAAAGGAATTCATAAATTCATCAGATTTTAATAAATTGTAACAAATTTAGTTAACACTGTGATAATGTATTAAATAATATGCCAGATAAAATGGATAAAATCAAACGTATTAAATGGATGATTGGATGACTTTATTGTTAAAGGAAAAGTATGATGTACAGGGGCAAGCCACTACTAATTTGAGGTGGAGAGCATATGATTTAAATTAAATAATTAGCAAGCTATTTTATTGATTTATAAACGTATATTTCTTTTTATTTAAATTATAAATATTATATAATCCTAAGAAAACTTTTAGAAAAAAGTATGTTTTCAACCAGCAAGTCGCGAACTACTAATAAGTTCACGGTTTTTACTAAGCTAAAAGAGTATTTTTTAACTAAAAAGAAGTTGACGAATTCATTAAAAACAAAATATTATATGATAAAATCGATACAGAGGACTGAAAATATTATTTTTTATTTTATTTTTTAATAATTTTTATTTCTTACATATTTTTTAAACTTAAGTTTTAACCAATATATTACAAAAGATAAGAGCTTCAAATTTCACTAATCAAATTCAGCAAAATAAAATAATTTCTAATGAAATAATCTAATTTTTATAATTTTAAATTATAAGAATTTGATAATTATTATAGAAAATCTAAAAGATTTTGATAACTGAAAAGGAGAAAATTGCAAATAATAATTAAATCGTTATCATAAAATATATAAAATAAAAACGTTATTTTATATTATTCTGTATTCATTAAACTTGTAATTTTGTAAAATAATTATTTATTTATTACTAAATGTTTATAATTATCATAATTAAATAATTGTGTACTTAATTAGAAAAAATATAATTTATTAATTGTAATAATTAATAATT